GAAAGAAGAAGAGAGTTGGGAAGAAGAGAAAGATACTCATCAGTACAGCAGAGAGAGAGGGAGAGAGAAAGAAAGAGAGTGGGGGAAGAAGCGAATACTCCTCAGTACAGCACAGAAAAAGAGAAAGGAGAGAGAGAGAGAGAGACAAAGAGAGCACAGAGAGAGAGAAAGAGAAAGTGAGAGAGTGGGGGAAGAAGAGGAGAGATAAAGCTCCTCAGTACAGCACAGAAAAAAGAGAGAGAGAGAGAGAGAGAGACAAAGAGAGCACCAGAGAGAGAGAGAAGAGAGAGAGAAAGAGTGAGAGAGTGGGGGAAGAAGAGGAGAGCGAATACTCCTCAGTACAGCACAGAAAAAGAGAAAGGGAGAGAGAGAGAGAGACAAAGAGAGCACAGAGAGAGAAAGAGAGAAGTGAGAGAGTGGGGGAAGAAGAGGGAGAGATAAAGCTCCTCAGTACAGCACAGAGAGAAGAGAGAGAGACAGAAAGAAGAAGAGAGTTGGGAAGAAGAGAGAGTATCATCAGTACAGCCGAGAGAGAGAGCGAGAAAGAAAGAGAAATACTCCTCAGTACAGCACAGAAAAAGAGAAAGAGAGAGAGAGAGAGACAAAGAGAGAGACCTCCTCCACACACACACACACACACACACACACACAGCGGCCCCACACATGTCCGTGCGCCGCGCCGCCACACTGTTTGATCAGCGTGTTTACCCAAAACACGGCGCGTTTCCGAGTGTGCCCTGTGGCGGAAATGTGTTACTGCGCACACATACAGAACGGAAGGAGGGAACAGGTACTGGCCCAAACAAAGTGCTCTCTCTCTCCCCCTCTCCCCGCAGTTAATAACGCCGCTAATAGGTCGGAGTCTTTCTCTGGCATGTGCAATGTAAACACTTGTTAAGAGCACATCCAACCCAGAGCGGAGCCGGGAAATTACAGGCATTCGGGGCGAGCTAACGTCGTGAAGTGCGCGTTCGCCGCGACTTTACGGACATATTGAAGACATTAACAGCTGAGATGGATCCCCGCGTTCCAGAGCATGACCTCATGATTAGGGCAGTTTTGTTTCTCCGAACGGGGCTGTTTTTTTTCACCGGCTAGCCCCCTAAAAGCGCACCGAGCACACCAGGCCGCTTCGCCCCAGGCCGTGCCCGCTCGCCCACTCGACGGGGGGAATCATAATACACTTACGGCGCTGTTGCCATGGCGAGGTTATTTCGCGGAGCCGGGGGGGACATTTAAAAGGCACTGTAATGAAGTTTGAAGTGAGTGGTGGTTGTGATTAAACTAACATCGGAAAAGCTGTAAATTGTTGTTTTTACAATGAGACAATCTCAAACAGTGGGGGAAAACACTTGATCACAGCCGGGACACCTTCATTTGGTCAAGACTTAAGTTTGTGTAGAGTAGTGTGAAGACTTTGTCCATGTTCATATCTGTAACATTAGGAGACGTTGAGGGCTGAAATCGTAGTAACTCCCTAAAATTTAATCTAAAAATATTGGGGTTTGTGAATATTAAATTTAGTTTTAAACTTTTCTTTTGTGTTATTTTATATACTTTTTAATGACAATGTATTTTGTATTTTGTTAGTTGAGTTGGTAATCTCAAGGGCTGTTTCTGTTTTGTTTTTGTTTTTTCAAAATAAAAGCCACAGGAAAGATCAGGCCATTGTTGCGGTCATGCTGCCACTAAAATACAACATGTAAAGGGGGACATGGTTCTTCTGGTCTGAGATCTGAAAAGGGTCTTAGAAGAGAAGAGAACCACGTACTAGAAGACTACCTACTGTTGACAGCCTAAGTGTTTAAATGTACATTTTGCATTTTAGAGATGATTAAAAATTTAAAATATATTGGTTATTTTAAAACTACAAAATCTGACTTATCTAGTCCCTACCAAAGAAAATGTAGGGATGTAACAATAACCAAAATATCGTGATATCGTATCATCAAAAGTCTCACAATAATATCGTGGACTATCACAATATATCGAATTACAAGTTCCTTTGCTTAAATCAGACATGTCAAACTCATTTATTTGGCCCGTGAGATCATATTAAATATGTATTAGAGCTTTTCTCGCCGGCTACAGACAGACTACAGACACATTATTTATTACCTTGTCTGTTTGTTTGTTTGTTTGTTTGTTTGTTTGTTTGTCTGTTAGCAACATAACTCAAAAAGTTATGGACCGATTTTGATGAAATTTTCAGGATTTGTTGGAAATGTGAAAAGGAAGAACTGATTTCATTTTGGGGGTGATCCGGAAGAAATCCTGGATTCTGGATCACTTTGAAATTTTAGTTAACATTGTGGTAAATGGGGCCAAAAATTTAGTTTCTCAATATCTCGGTTAATTATTGACCAAACCCCATGAAATTTGACTCAGGGATGGACAATGGGATCCTCTTTCATATTCCAAAGGCTGATCCGGATCTGATCCAGAAGACTGATTTTATCGCAATTTATATATAAAAATGGGGGTAGTCCTTGGCGGAGGTCTGCGCTCTCTGAGTGCTTTTCTAGTTTAAAATGTTATTATTTATATTTTATGCTTGTTCTTGACTCAATGTTTAAGCAAAACTATTATTAAACATTTATTTTGATAAGAAAAGGTTTAACATTACATATCTTGAAAGAAGAGAAAACATACAGATGTTGTTTAAATTTTTCATTAAATATTTAGTTTTAGTCCCAGTTTTTAATTTTGTCCCTCTGTGAATTTGAGTTTGACACCCCTGGCTTAAATGCAGGTTTTATAGTAGCAACAGCTTATAAACATTGGGAACTACATATCCCAAGATTCATTTCAGCGCAGACAACATGAAGAGAGATGTATTTTACTTTCTTAAATTCTTGGGATTATGACGGAAATAATTCACACCAAAATCATGTCAAATTATTTTAAAAGCAAAAAAGAGTCCCATTTACATTTATATCAGCCTCTTCAAAATATCGCAATAAATATCATGATAATATCGTAACGAGAGATTTGGATATTGTTGATGTAGGTTTTTTCTTAGCTGAAAAAAAATCCATGATAGATTCCACAGCCAAAATATTAGAACATTTAATTTTAATAACTTAAAGACTGTTTGCCTGGTATTTAGGTCAATTGTGTCTTTCCCTGTACAGATATATTGTATAAGTAGATCTTTTCATCAAAATAAGTCTGCTGCATTGTGTCTGCATCTAATTAAAAATAAAACAGATTCAGAACCAAGGTTATGGAGTGAAGCATTTCTGAGAAAGGAGTCTTGACAAAGATATAAAAGAATCAAGTACAATGAAGGCATTTAAAAAACACATAAAATGGAGTGAATAATAGTGAAGATTTTTGTTTGAAATTGATTAATAATTCTGCCTGAACTTAAATGTACTGATTTGAAATGTTTTAAAGTGACTATCGGTGTTGATGTTTTGTCTGAAAAAGGGAACAATTGGGCAGATAACATAAGATTAACTCTTCTTTCTGCTCCTTTTCATTCATTTCTTGTATGTTTGATGTCTTTTTATTAGGGGTTTAACGATATCCAAGTCTCACAATACGATGTCATCACGGTATAAACCTCACGGTACGATATTTATTGCGATATTTTGTGGACAAAACTGTTAATATGCTACTTTTTCTTCTTAAAATGCCTTGAAAAGACTTAATCCAAAGAACTAAGACTTAAAAGTGTTTAGAACTGTTATTTCTTCTTGTAGTCTGCACTGAAATGGAGCAAAGGATCATGGTCTATGTAGTTCCCTCTGTCTTTTTTTTTTTTTTTTTTTTAGATATTGCTGCACCATAACTCTTAATTTAAGCAAAGACACTTGTAATTCGATATATTGTGATGGTCGACGATATTATTGTGAGAACTTTGACGATACGATATCACGATATTTTGGTTACTGTTGCATCCCTACTTTTTATACTATATGAAATAAATAAATAATAAAAATAATAATTATTAAAAAGTTTTCTGTCTGATAATCAGGAAGTGCGCAATAGCATGTTACATGTTGTTTGCTTTAATGTCACAGCAAAACTCTGCTCTAGTCTCTGTCCTGGAGAGTGGTGAATAGGGGTGTGCAAAAATATCGAAATATTGATATATCGTATCGTTTAATGTGATGATACATTACCGATATCGTGGGCTGCTGTATCGATATATCAATAAGAGTATTTTTTGGTATATTTTACTAAATTATTTTTAAGTTTTGTTGCTTGTTTAGTGGAAGGAAACATGGACATTTTCACTGTTTTGATGATTAAAATGATGAGATGATGATATGACGTTTGCTTAAGAAGTGGTTTAACAAAGACTTTCAGTGTCACAGCCATGACTTAAACATGATTTTTTTCCTGAACCATACTGAATTGATTTGAAATATATCATATCGAATCAAAAGTGCACTGTATCCAGATATGTATCGTATCGGCAACTTCTTAATGATACCAGCCACTAATGGTGAATAATTAGGACGCTCTGAGTGAGGAATAACTTTGGACCGCTGCAAACCGTTTAAAATAAACTAGCTCAGTTTTTATCGCTTCCATGAAAGTAAAAATCACATCCAGCGCCTTTAAGCTCGAAACTGCAACACTCAAGCCTAAAATATCAAATACCTTTAACATATGCACAAGCAATTAGCAGCAATCCCTCACTTCTGCTGTCTCTCTGTAGCCCCCCCCAGCCCCCTGATTTGGCCGTTAAATCCATGTGCGGACTTCCCCTTTAATAATTACCCAGCAGTCTTCATGTTACCCACAGGACACGGATAAATCCCCCATATGCGCGCCTGGATTTCCAATAGATCCATCCATTCACACTTGTTAGCGCCATTCCCAGCTATTCCAGCCATATGACTAATTATCTGAGTTTTATTTTGCTTTTTGGGGGCCCATCTGGAACGCGGCGCAGAGGCTGGGTTACGACGGGATGGGAGCGCGGAGTGGTGCGGAGAGCAGACAATGGTTCTGTTTTGTGAATTGGAGCCGCTCTTGTCAGTTACCTTCCAGTCTTGGCTGTCCTCCAGTCTGTAGCGGATCTGGTATTTGGCCTGGAACAGGAAGTCTTTGAGAGCGGGCGGAGCCTCCCAGCGCACACTGAGCTGGTCCTCCAACTGCCCCACGCGGCTGACCGTCACGCCGGAGGGGGGGTCGGTGGTCACTGCGAGGGGAGAGAGGAGAGAGAGGGAGGGGTTAGGGTGGGGACGGGTTACAATGGGGTTTTCTATGTTGACATGTGTGTTATGGTGAGTAGGTGTAGCCAAGTCAATGGGTCAGTTTGGCCTGTTGCAAGAGTTCCTTCATCGCTATCAACGTCTGACAGAAATCCAACAAGGAATAACTCAATCACAGCCTCCAACAACAGTATATGTTATTTATTAAAGGTACAGTATGGAACCTTCTAGTTGCTGCATGTCACCTTCATGATTCCACGGAAATAGAAAGTTAAAATAAAACAAAATATATCAAAATTTCAATATATTGTGTTGTTTAATGTGATGATACAGTATCGATATCGTGGGCTGCTGTATCGATATATCACCAAGAGTATTTTTTAGGGGTGTAACGAAGTCCAAGTCTCCCTCACGGCACAATATTTACTGCGATATCGTGGGAAAGCTCACGATTAGGGATGTAACGATATCCAAATTTCTAGGTGCAATGTTTTAACGATATACATCTCATGGTATGATATTTATTGCGATATTTTGTGGAGGTTAACAAAATTAAATATGCTGCTTTTTCCTCTTAAAATGCCTTGACAAGACTTAATCCAAAGAACTCAGACTTAAAAGTGCTTAGAACTGTTATTTTTTCTTGTAGTCTGCACTGAAATGGAGCAAAGGATCATGGTCTATGTAGTTCAATTTGTCTTTTTTAGCTATTGCCGCACCATAACCCTTAATTTAAGCAAAGAGACTTGTAATTCGATATATTGTGATGGTCCACGATATTACTGTGAGAACTTTGACGATGCGATATCACGATATTTTGGTTATTGTTACATCCCTATTATTTTTTGGTACATTTTACTAAATTATTTTATTACAGAGCTACAGTTTTGTTGCTTGTTTAGAGGAAGAAAACATGTTTATGCGACACATTTGACATTTTCACTATTTTGATGATTAACTTTGCAAAGACTTTTACTATCACAGCCATGATTTAGCCTTTATTTTTTACTGAATCGTATCGAATCGATTCGAAATACATCACATCCAGAGGCAGTGCTACCATTAGGCAAAAGTAGGCGGCTGCTTAGGGCCCCCAAACCTGGAGGGGCCCTCAACCAATTTCTCTCAGTGTCTCTAATAGTTGAGGCCTCAGAGCAATTAGATTTTCTCTCAATATGACATTAAATGAGAGCAATTTACTAATAATAATCATATGTAAAGGATGTAAACAAAATATAATTGTACTAGTAAAAAACGACTAAAACTACATAAAACTACTTTCAGATCTGGTTATCTAGTGGGCGACCTAACTAATAAGACAAGTTTCCAATCTACCATAATTCAAATAAATAGAGATGTGTACGCATCAAAAACAATGGGGAAAAACGGACAATAAATATATTTTAAAAACTGAACAGAAAAAGGGTGCATTATAGTGAGGGCCCTAAAATCAAGTTCACCTAGGGCCCCCAAATTCCTAACTCAACCACTAATTGCATCGAATCGTATCAAATCAAAAGCTCAACGATGTATGTATCGTATCGGCAACTTCTTAATGATACCCAGCCTTCGTTAAACCCATATTTCATTCAGCATGGAGACAAATATTTTACACTATACTGGCATATTATTATAGCATACTGTGGAATATTATAGCCAACAAGCAGGCCAGGTTCGTGAAAATGCAAGCTCTGAAAAGTTACATACTCTGACTTTAAATGTTTTCCCTATGATCAGTATTAAGTTTTATTATATTTGTTCAGAATCCTTTGAGAAGCCTTTTTTTTTTGTCAATGATCATATCATCTTTGCACTGTTTCCTTTCGACCTCTTGTATATAACTGTGATTATACTGTATTTATATTACAATATTTGTGTTTTACTTACTGTACATTAGGGCTGAGTATCATTCAGAAGTTGCCGATACGATACATACCTCGATACAATGAGCTTACGATTCGATACAACAATAAAAAATAAAGGCTAAATCATGGCTGTGATACTAAAAGTCTTCGTTAAACCACTTCTTGTGCAAAGTTCATATGAAACACAAACATTTTAATCATCAAAACAGTGAAAATGTCAAATGTGTCGCATAAACGAGTTTCCTTCCTCTGAACAAACAACAAAACTGTGGCGCTGTAACAAAATAATTTAGTGAAATATACCAAAAAATACTCTTGGCGATATATCGATACAACTGCCCATGATATCGATACTGTATCATCACATAAACAATACAATATATTGATATTCTGATATTTTTGCACACCCCAACTGTACATACATTTATATAATTTATGTCTTATTGATACCAGTCTCTTGCCATTTTTTATTTTGTTTTTACCGCTACTTATTTAGAAGTTTATTACCATTTTTTTTAAACATATACATATTTTTTACTCTGTGTTATTGTAATATAATGTGATGTGTGAGCTACTGTGGCCAAGTAATTTCCCTTGTGGATCAATAAAATCTGTTTAAGTCTAAATCTAAGTCTAAATCTGCTGCATATCAAACTTAAACAGCACCTTTTGCACATAAACTGCAATCATATTTGTATTAAACATCTGTAAATAGATGTTAAAGCTCTGTACGTTTAAGTAGTGAGAGTATAAAGTGTGTCTGACCTGTACGTTTTAATACTAATGTCGTACGAGTGTGTTTTTATAGTGAATGGGTGAGAGGGCGTATTGTACCTTTTGTCATGTTTTACAAATTGTGCGGGTTTTGTGGCTGGCTTTGGTCCAGCGCGGGACTAAGGATGGAAATTAGCCTTGGCGACAATCCTGCATATTTACAAGTCCATGTTTGTCTTTTGCCTTATCTCGTCTTTTGTCCCTTTAATAAAGAAATACAATACAATACAATGCAATACAATATTCTTTTTAACGTAGCTCTATGCCCAACCCTACGAGACCAGTGTGATACTATATGGAAAAAAAAAATCACAAAACTAGTCACGGATTTAAATCTATTAATGTGATTTTTTTTTTTTTTTATTCTCATAATAGAGGTAAAAATGAAAGAAGTCATGACAATATCACAGAAATCCAAGTCAGCTGATCTCACATTTAATATAGTACTTTAATTTGACTTTTTATCTATACTTTTTTAAATATATGAACAAATCGATGTATTTAGTCACCATTAATACAAATAATTCAGAGTTTTTGTTGTAGAATAAATGGTTGTAGCGCGAGAGTTGAAGAGAAGAGACTGAAGTTCTAACACACGGGAAGTATATTTACATTAGTACAGGCGCCCAAAGAGACACAAAACTTCAACAAATTGTAATAGCGTTGTCCAGTCCAGTCTAGTCTAGCTATTAAGGGTGTACAAAAAAAATCGAAATATGATGCAGTATCGATATCATGGGCTGCTGTATCGATATATCCCCAAGAGTATTTTTTTTGGTATATTTTACTAAATTATTTTCTTACAGAGCTACAGTTTTGTTGCTTGTTTAGAGTAAGGAAACTCGTTCATGCGACACATTTGACATATTCACTGTTTTGTTTTGTTCCTTTTAAAAACTTAAATCAATTCACATCAACAGCATTCTTGCTATAATCTGGCATATTTACATTGCAGTGTTGTAGATGTTCATTAATATGCACTGTCCCTATTAAATACATAAGTAAATAAAATAAAATACAATAAATTAAAATAATAATATAATAATAATAATAATAATAATATGATAATAATAATAATAATAATAATAATAATAATAATAATAATAATAATAATAATAATAATAATAATAAATAAACATAAAAATAAAAAAATAAAGAAATGAAATAAACAATGTCCTGAGACCGGGGCCTCATATTTAAAAAAAAAAAAAAAAAAACAATAGATAAAAAAAATAATAAATATAAGGCAATGTTAATTATAAGGCATGTTAGGGCACAAGTGTCTTATTTGCAAAAGCCAATAATTGGACTCCACCTCTTTTCAGAAGTTGGCACGTTGAGCTCTAGTTGAGTCGTTAACAGTTCCATTGTATAAACTTGTCTGATTTTTGATATCCACTGTTCAACGGTCTGTGTTTCAGGTTTCAGCCAGTAGATCGTGATTATTTATTTTTCTCGCAGGCATCAGAAGAAGATGCAACAGAAAGCACTGATCATGAGAGAGACCATCAGGGTATTCACTGTTTTGATGATGAAAACGTTTGTGTTTCATATGAACTTTATGCAAGAAGTAGTTTAACTAGGGATGTAACAGTAACCGAAATATTGTGATATCGTATCGTCAGTTCTCACATTAATATCGTGGACACACACACAATCACAATATATCGAATTACAAGTCTCTTTGCTTAAATTAAGAGTTTGACTTTGCTCCATTTCAGTGCAGACTACAAGAAGAAATAACAGCAGTAAGCACTTTCAAGTCTTAGTTCTTTGGATTAAGTCTTGCCAAGGCATTTTAAGAGGAAAAAGTTGTTCGCCTCCACAAAATATTGCAACAAATATCATACCGTGAGATATATATCTTGAAAATATTGTGCAAATATCGTAAAAGATTTGGTTATTGTTACATCCCTAACCATGAGCTTTTCCATCATATCGTGAGCTTTCCCACGATATCGCAATAAATATCGTACCGCGAGATGCAAACCGTGACAATATCGTATCGTGAGACTTGGATATCGTTACACTTGTAAGTTTAACAAAGACTTTTTGCATCACAGCCACGAATTCGTTTTTATTGAACCGATTTGAAATATATCACATCGAATCGAAAGCTCACTGGATCAAGATATGTATCGCATCGTGGCCTATGTATCGAGGTATGTATCGTATCGGTGACTTCTTAATGATACCCGGCCCTACGAGCTGTGTTTCAGTTGTAGGGAGTATTATACCACCGATTACGTAGGTCAAAATAACAAGGACTGTGCTGGCCGTGTGGGGCAAAAACACAATCAGTATTACTTTGTTGTTATCATTTTTAATTATGGCGAAAAATATGTAAATCTGACTCAAAATTTCTTACTTCATTCTCATCTAGGAGTTGTTCTTATTAAATTGAATCATAAATCTTTTACAGTTTACCAAACCAAATTGCTCGCTGGTTGAATCATTACATTCATATCTCACAATCGTCATGTAAAAATTTGACTTCCATAATCCATTCCAACATAATAACAACTAAATATTCAGAGAAAATGTTTAAAATATGCCAGAAAGATTACACAAACCAGCCCCATTTCACACCGCGGGGTAATGCTAGCGCCGCAGATGTAGTCAGAAGCACTTAACTCCAACTCCCATCCATCCTCAGCTCGCTCGCCTCTCCCGCTAGTGTCCGGATCTACACATGGCCCGGATTAACTTTCCCCCATCCTGAGTACAAAACTAACAGCTCGCGGCTCCTCTCTGCGCGCTAAGGTCACCCCGCTAGGTCAACCCATCCGTCTGCTTTCCCCGGGAGGGCATCAGGGCTAATGTCTCTATGTGGAAGAGCTCCTCGGGCCGAGCTGCGGTCGGGAGACTTGATTTGTGAGAGCGGAGGGCTTCTTCATCTGACAACAATTATATCCCTCTGAACAAACAAACATGCGCTGACAGACCATTATTTTAACTTTTCTTTGAGATCGTTTCAATATCGAGAAGAGTAGCTTTTTTGTGATGTCCACGATCAGCGGTAAACAAACATGGCAGCCCCCCCGAGGTTATGGTTTGGGCGGAGGAGTGATGTAAAGATAAAGAGGTATTGTGCTGACTTCAATAAATCGAGTTAAAGCGTGGCGATGTCAAGAAAAGAACCGCATCTCGGAGCGGTAGTGTTCAGATCCAGGCTACTGACAGTGTTGCCATACAGTTCCACTATACGGGGTTTTTATGGGATTTATACTTTATGTAACTTTTAAAGGGTCCATATAGTGTTATTTTGTTGTTTCCTCATCACAAACAGACCTGGAGTTGTGTTTTGTTTCATTCACACATGTTTAACACACAAAACTTGCATATTTACGCTGAGTTCTCCTCTCAAACTCTCTTCCACCTTGTGATGTCATGCGGTAATACAGGAAGTGCTCGTCTAGGTTTTAAACTCTAGAATTATTTGATTAATTTCAGGCTCTGGAATTGCCGGTCTCTAGTGAACTAAAGGTAAAAAGTCGCTGTTAACGTGAAAATTACAGCTTCGTGACATCACAAGGTGGAATAGGGCATTTTGAGCTTTGGAGATGTAAACAAAACACAACTTCAAATATGTTTTTGAGGAGGTAACAACATTATAATCAGGTTTAAAGCTCAGTCAATTTTGGATAGGGATGGGGTGTGCAAAAGTATTGAAATATCGATGTATCGTATTGTTTAATGTGATGATACAGTATCGATATTGTGAGCTGCTGTATCGATATATATTGCCAAGAGTATTTTTTGGCATATTTTACTAAATTATTTTGTTACAGTGCTACAGTTTTGTTGTTTGTTTAGATGAAGGGAATTCATTTATGCAACACATTTGACATTTTTACTGTTTTGATGATTAAAATGTTTGTGTTTCATATGAACTTTGCACAAGAAGTGGTTTAACAAAGACTTTTAGTATCACACTCATGATTTAGCCATTATTTTTTATTGAACCGTATCAAATCGATTTTAAATATATCACTGAATTGTAAACTCGGTGTATCAAGATATGTATCGTATCGGCAATGTATGTATCATAGTTGTGTTTCTTCATATTGTTAATCACTATTTTCAATTCAGTTTTAATTTGTCTTGTCAAAAACAAAACAAATATTCAATATAACAATATATTCAATATATTCAATATGAACATAAACAAGAGAAGACCGATTGTGGACCCCCATTAAAAAGACCCAAACTGTTCATTTATGGTTAGAAATGACTGAATCTTGATTTCTCTTATAATTGTTTGATTGCACAGCCCTAAGATCAATGATATGTCAGTGCTGAGATCGGTATAGTCGATATGTTGCTGAAGTAAATATAAACGATAATCGATATTAAAACTCATTTATACCACTGTCAATAAGCCAAAAGCAGATTTAAATTACAAAAACTATTCTAAATCTACAATATTGTTAAAGCTGGAAGCAGAAGGGGAAAAAGGGGTCTGTTGTCCCGGGCCCCAGGGTCTTAGGGGCCCATAATTGGAGCCTCTGCCTATTAATCAAGATTAGACGGGGGTCCATGTGAGGCTTCTTGCCCCGGGCCCCCAAATTTCTGTCGACGTGCCTGGCTGCAATAAATAAATAGCAGAATGAAACACTTTAGTTCTTGGTTTACATCAGTGGTGAGTCTTAGAACTTATAAATTCAGTCTTAAATCTATAGCCAGAAAATAACCACAGCTTTCCCAGGAGTGAAAAGAAAATGTACACACTAAATACATATTAACCCCAGAAATGTTGCTCCAGGTTTCATATATAGAACAATAAGTCAATATAGTAATTATGGTGACAGCCAGGCCTATATCAGATGATGGTTTCATATGTTGGTACTGGTAAAATTCACTCTATCGGGATGGTATTTTTACAACATGAGGCTTTATGTTCATTGTTCACAGATACATATATATTTTTGTGAACTTAACTACATCTTTTCTGCCATTTGGGGGCCTTGCTTTGGATTTAAAAATAAGGGTATTGTCAAATATTGTTCATCAGCGACAACAAAAATATCAGTACCAGCTTCAAAAACCCATTTTAGACCATCCCTAGTTTTGGATTCTTCAATTTTGTAACTTTATAAAATGTTGATGTATAGAAAACAGGTTGAATTAGGCGCCCGTTGCCCTCTGCTGCTGACACCAGGGATAGGGCTTTTTTATTTCATTTAAAAATATAGGAAAATATTTAAAAAGTATACTATGAGACCTTGAATGGAGAAGAGTGGGCTGGTGCATGCCAAAGCCATAGGTAAATGCTACAATAGTGATATAAGCAGAAGGTTTACACGCGTGGGCCGGGTGATTCACAGAGGCATCCCCTGCATGACGGGAGCTCTTCGGCTAAAGCCTCCCTCTCCTCCCACACACTTGTAAATGTTGTGAGCCTGTTGTTTGGGTGTTGTTAGCTGACGTTTGATTCCGGGGATGAGCAGGCGTTGTGTCATCCCAGTATCAACAGAGCTTCGTGTTGCCTCTCGTCTTTCGGGTGGAATGTGAGTCTGGAGGTGTTTCCGGCTCCTCTGCTCGTGCGGAGGGTGACTCAGCCTCAGGTGTGGCTGCTGCTCACAGGAGCTTTACGGCCTGTTGTGGTAACAGTGAAAGGAGGACGGCCGGGCAACGGAACTCCAAAACAATCCTCCTCCAGTGAGAGCGAGAGGACCAGCCCTGCCCCACGGCTGTGTGAACAGGTGTGTGACAGAAGAGGCTGCTGCATACACACATACATGCAGACTGCAGCCTGATGGACACTGGGACAGCCTTTATATGGCCTGTCTGAGCGGAGCTGAGCGGAGCTGAGCTGAGTGTTACAGGAGAATCAGGTGAACATTTCCAAGCTCATCATCTTGTGTTATTTCAGCTCCACGTCCTAAAGCCTCAAAGCCCAGAGAGTGCCCCAGTGTGTGCCTCAGGATGTGAGCGGGAGAGAGAGAGAGAGGGATTAGGTTAAGGATCAGTGCGGAACATTCTCACTCCACAGAACCCTGTGTGCATGAGACCTCCTCAGGTGTGTGAGCGCATACATGTGCTTGGACTGAATGGAAGGGATTTAAGGATATAAAGAAGAGAAAAATAAGGTCTCACTGTTCAGTGAGCACAAACCAGTCTGAGAACAGAGCAGTGGAAGCTGGCAGGAAGCAGCTCAAAGTCAATGCTTTAAAAGGGAACAGACTGACATTGGTCATAGAGCTGCACTTTCCATTGAAGCCTTTAATGCTCTTCATTTTAGGTTGAAAGCGTTCAGTTTATTTTGTTTGAGGTCAGCCAAATTTGTAAGATTAGCACAGGAGATAATAATAGCGTTGTAAATCTGGCATGTCTTTGTTGTTTGGCTGGTTCCCAGCCTGAGCCTGGGGCTACGCTAACACAGGTTACAAAGCTTTCAGCAAGGCAGGGGTCAAAGGTCAAAGGTGACTTCCTGTACTCACCCACGTCTAGGATATCCAGAGTGAGCACGTCAGACACTTCCCAGCCCAGCTGGTTGGAGGCCTCCACCCAGATCTCGTAGGGTGTGAACAGATACAGGTCTCTGGTGATGCGACAGGCGTAGGGCTGACCTATGCTGTAGTCCTCACACTTCTTCTCCTCATCGTACCACCTGCGGCAGCACAAAGCACAAAGCACTGTCTGTATGTCTCTAACCGCAGAGGACAATGCTCTGATGCCATGAATGGAGTCAGCCCCCTCCTGATTACAGCCCATGTGAAAGCCATTGCTCACATCAGATTGGTTCCAAATGAAATACTGGTTTTCTCATAAAGTTTAACTTGCATGAACAATAGGCTTTACCCTCTGGCTCCCAATATGAAGTGGAGTCTGCCAAAGAGATCAAGCTATGATTGGATATTTTATCCTCTGTCCAGCTCCTTCAGTTTATTTCATGTTTGTGAGACATTTCTCATAGTACAATAAATATAATAGTACAATAAACATAATGGAGCAGAATAAACGTGCACTTGTACTTGAGAGTCTAGTGTGTAGATCCTGTGCTTGAACTTGAGGGTGTAGTGTGTAGTTTCTGAGTTTGTATTTGAGGGTGTAGTTTGTAGTACCTGCGCTTGTATTTGAGGGTGTAGTTTGTAGTACCTGCGCTTGTATTTGAGGGTGTAGTTTGTAGTACCTGCGCTTGTATTTGAGGGTGTAGTTTGTAGTACCTGCGCTTGTATTTGAGGGTGTAGTTTGTAGTACCTGCGCTTGTATTTGAGGGTGTAGTGTGTGCTGATGTTGGTCTCTCCTCTTCCCCCTGGGGCCCAGCTGCAGGTCAGGTCTTTGGTGTTCCTGGACCAGCAGGTCAGAGCCACTGGCTTCTGTGGAGGCACTGCACAAAGAAAACAAGGCAGGATTTAGAGCTGTGTTCACAGCTCAGCTGTATGTCTAAAGCATTTTAGGTATGCAGGATATTTAAAGAAGACCAGAAGAGTTCATGTTGTTAGTTGTAGTGTAGAATGACAGAAGATGTGGAAACGATAACCCAATCCCTGCCTTTGTGCCTGTGGCACAGACCCCTGCCAGCTCTGATTATGTGTGAGAACACAGGCTTCTAACACCAGCAGAGGAGGGCTGCTATTACACGTACCTCTGTGCTCTCAACTGACTTTATGGGAACACTCCCTGTGTGGTGCCCTCTGAGGCCACACAAGTGTAAAGTAACTCAACAATGACTTCTAGCTTCGGAGCCACATCACAAGTATGTTTTGTGTGGTGTATAAAGAGAGTACAGAAAATGACAGAAGTTAGAAGAGGACAAAAAGCCAATGTCTTACTTTTGGAAAAACAGGAATGTATTATGCAATGGTGTCTACAGGGGAACACAGGTTCAAGGGTGCGTGGGTGTATGCACATGTCAGGCATATAGCTGATGAGTGATAGTGCGAGTAATGGACCACACAGGTGGTCAGAGCAGTGACACAGCAGAGCCCCTCACAGAGGAGCAGAGGGCACACACTACACAACATACAGCCACAGCAGCCCTGCTGCACAAGCGTTTGTCTGTCCTGGTACACCTCAGGTCACCTCAGGAGTTCAGACCTAGGACATTGTCATCTTCTATGTGTCCAGACCATTAGAGGAGAGTCTACAGCAGACTTCAGCAGAGCTCATGCACCCTTCCATACAGTGTGGGACTGAGTGATTAGAACATGCTCTGGTCAGACTAGACTTACTGCCGACGTAGAGGCAGGAGCCGGCCAGGATGTGGCCCTTGTGGTTGTGACACACCAGGTTGTCACCAGACTTTTGGCTGGAAGCGTTGAGTCCTACCAGCGTCACACTGAGGTTGTTGGGGCTGAGCACTCTGTACAGAGAGCTGGCCAGAGGCTGGCCGTTCAGGGTCCAGAACAGAGAGCTGGCATGCACCCCCAGCTCAGGGTGCACCCAGCAGCTGGCCGTCAGGTTGGAGCCCATGCGCAGGACAGGATCCTGGGGATAGATGGAAGCCATATCTGGACACACAGAGACGCACATGTCACTAAAGTTTAACCATGGCTCTTCCACACAGTCTACTGCAGCCATCTTCGAAACCATATCATAAATGTCCACATCTTAAAATGGAGTAGCCTAAACGACAGAGCCTGCAACACTTTCCACTGTCTTTCCTCTCAGTGTGACTGTTCACCCAAAATGACTGCTCATTCCCCGTCTTAAAATACATTCAGCCTATTTTTATTTGAGAAGCTTCACAGGAGTATTCCTCCACTGTGGTGATCAGAACACACCAAAGACACACGCCTATAGGCCTTGTATTTCTCTTCATTAGTCTGAGCCGTTGAACATCCTGATCTGTAAAGTATGTGTCATACACAAAAACAACAAAGCCATATCACATTGATCACATTCATGAGTGAGGGCTTCCTCTCTGGAGTTCACTGACATTTAAAGATCATTTCCGTATAAGGCATTATTATGATCATAAATATTAGTCGCACAATTATGTTGGCTGTCAGTTTACACAAGATTTACGGCTTGAACATCAAATTTATGGCCTGCTATATTCTGCGGGCTCGTGTGAATCGCAAGGCAAACAATAAGAACAAAGTGAGCGTGATATGAGAGCAATAAAAACATAATATACAGTTATGCGGTTAGTCATAGTAAATATGTGAGTGGCAGCTGCTGCAAAAGCAAACTCATTACTCTTACTTACTACAATAGTGCACTGCTCAGAAAGGGTTTGAGCGTTTACTCAAAGATAAAGGTACAGGAAACTAACAGAACCGTGCAACAAGTCCTGAATAAAAACTATACACGAACTAGGACTGTCAATAGTATCAAAATCAGATATGAATTGGTATTAAACTAGATACTCATTTGAGCAAGCATTGATACTGCAAGAAATGGCATTAACAGGCCGAAATTTTAACTTTCCTGAACAGTTTTAGTGTGATTTACAATGAAAATAACATTCTATTACTTAAAAAGGAACATTTTTATCCTCACTGTAGTATTGTAATTGGTATCGAGTATTGAGCCAATTCATTAGTATCGAAATCGAGTTTGAAATTTTAGTATCGTGACAACACAAGTGGTGAGTTCTTCAAATTCCGTTGGACCAATACTGAAAGCCCATTGGTCCATTTAGCAGATTTGGAAGTAGAACACGTTAGCGACTAGGATTAGTATAACCCAAATGTAGAAGTTGATTATTTTTCCCTACACAGTCACCAATCGACGTTGTTTACTGTGGTTAATGAAAAAAATACGAAAAATAAATAGGCAAGCTGCATTAGAGATCAGGACGATATCATCAACACAATAACTAACTCCATTTGACATTAATTGTATATTTCTACTAAATATTACCATATGCCTGAGAGACTGTTCATGTTAAAGAGACAGTACAAAATTTTGGACATAGGACCTCATTTCCTAGTGAGCCAGAGTGCTGGAGATGTGTGGAGTCACTTTTTTAAATATTCCATCCAGTCCTTGTATTTGCAGAGGTCGCTGGTGCTAGGCTAGTGCATGTCAATGGTCATAGTTATCCTGCCACTAAAAACAGACTTACCCACTCCACAAAAACACCCGAAGCAAATCTATTATAACGCCAGACTGTCAATGTAAATGTCTGTGTTGATAGAATCATTTTAAAAAAGTAAAACCAACCTTGCATTTGAAGGATTTATGTTTGAGCTGCAGCAGTGAGTTGTACTTCCTGATAGAAAGCTTGGCAGCGGCGGACTGATATATGAGAAAATAGTCCCTCAACATGTGACGATTCATGCGATGCAAGGTTAGTTTTATTTCAAACATTATTCTATCAACACAGATATTTACATCGACAATCTGGCATAATAATATATTTGCTTTGGGTGTTTTGTGGAGTGGGTAAGACTGTTTTTAGTGGCAGGATAACTATGGCCATTGACATGCACTAGTCTAGCACCAGCGACCTCTGCAAATACAAGGACTGGATGGAATATTTAAAAAAGTGTCTCCACACGTCTCCAACACTCTGGCTCACTAAGAAATGAGGCCGTATGTTCAAAATTCTAAAACTGTCCCTTTAATAGCTAAAAGTCCATGAGTGACAATTGCACATTGTGGTTCTTACCTAAATTTTGTCTATTCAGGCACCTGTAGTCTATTTGGGAAGCTCAGTTTGAGATTTTTAAGCTATTAAAAAAATAATAATAATAACAAAAATAAAATAACAAAACTACAAAAAAATGTTCAGTTTGTTTCATTACGTTGATCTTAATAAAGATGCACCGATACTGACACTGGTAGGGATGTAACGATATCCAAATCTCACAGTACGATATTAACACGATATGCATCTCATGGTACGATATTTATTGTGATATTTTGAAGAATATAATTGTAGATGGGACACTTTTTTGCTTTTAAAATACCTTGACACGATTTTGATGTGAATTATTTCCGTCATAATCCCAAGAATTGAAGTAAAAAACATATCTCTTCATGTTGTCTGCACTGAAATGAATCATGGGATATGTAGTTCCCGATGTTTATAAGCTGTTGCTGCTATAAAAACAATGCATTTAAGCAAAGGAACTTATAATTCGATATATTGTGACAGCCCACGATATTGTGAGACTTTTGACAATACGATATCACCCTAGATCCCTAGATGCTGGTATTGAATATCGATGCATATACCGAAAAATTCGCTGGATCAGGTATCAGTTACACGATACTGGTTAAATTGGTGCGATTGAACTATTAATTTACAGGCTGATATTGGCTTAGAGCGTCAATAAACTTTTAAAGCTGTTCAGTAGTAGATTTGATGGACCAATAGCAACACAATCGGATCTCTTGTGTGATAAGTTAACTTTGTTTTGAGGAAATATTGACTATTTCCGTCTCTACGCTGGTATCGTTTAATATCGGACACCGGCAAATCCTGAGGCAAAAGTTTCAACATCGCTATTGGACCTGAAAACGCTGGATCAGTGCGTCCCTACATCTTATATACAACCCCGAGCACTATAGGACTACTAATACACGCTACTCCAGAGTCATACAAGCGCTCACGAATGGTATTTCTCATCACTTGGTAGGCCTAAGTGAAGCGGACCAGGATTAGCCCGTAATGCGCTGATCCCGCTGAATAACAAGCCGGGTTTATTTGTTCCACGCGGGAGGAGACACTGGTCCGGACAGCCCAGCGCCGGCAGCCCTCAACCTCCTCCGAGCAGTTCAAACGCGGCGCTGAGAGACACAATTACAAGTGTTTATTGTCCCTGTGCGATGCGTTCGATGACAAATGAGCGAAGACACGGCGTTTGTTTGGAGAAGCTGCGGCCTCCTCATCACGACACAGTAGACGCCCAAGGAGGAAATGGACACCTAAAACAGCAGCACGCTTTGGGTTTGTATGCTCTGAAAACGTCTGTGGATAAAGTGTGTTCAAAATGGAGTTACGTTACGTGTAAAATAAAGTGATAATGCGATACGGTTAGCAAAAGTATCGAAAACCAGACGCTGAAACTAGTATCGAAACTCATTTAAGCAAGTATCGCTACTGGAAACACAAAACAAAACACATAACTGGATAAAATTGTACTTTTCCTGAACCGATTCATCTTGACTTTTATTAGAACTAGAGTAAGACCACATGGTGCAATAAACAAATACTAAAAGCTTGTGGTATTACAATACTGTCTAAAAAAAGCTCTCAAAAAGACCTTTTGTGTATAAAAATCAATCTTGAGTATTGAGTCTATTCAAGTTTCATTTCATTTGTTTCATTTTATTTATTTGTTTGAGCAAGGTTAAACAAAATCAACAACACAAACAAAAAAACAAAACAAGGATATGTAAATGTACATATTTGGGACCTGGTGCTCAAAAGGTAAAGTAAGAAAAGTTTGAAACTGAAATAGTATCGTGACAACACTATAATGTTCTGATGATATTATGGGAATCCATCGGAAAGGTGCTAAATGTTACTGTAAATGCCGTGGTTAAGGTTAAAGTATCGCAAAAAACGTAAATGGATTCCAAAATGAAAAAGAATACAGACTTAAATTTTGATCCATAATACACTTTTAACTCGAAGCGTTCAGCGTTCAACATGTTTACCTAAATTTGGTTAAAAATGCACTTTAACAATTTACAGTATCAATAATTGTTCGACTAGTTGACTAATCGACTACTAAAATAATCATCAGTTGCAGCCCTAATGATGGCAACAACACTAAGTTAAAGTTAAATGTAAAACTGTGGGTAGTGTTTGACCATTTCAGTATAGAATGAAAAGGTTATAAGTGTAAATTTCATCGTTTTGCTCAAGAAGAAAAGTAAAGAGCCGGGGGTTACAGTGCAAGTTTTAGTGCCGTCAGTATTAAAAAAATAAATATTATAAACTTACGATGCAAAAAACAGGCTTTCTCTGAGACCAAATCATCATCAAAAACACCTGAATTTAAGTTTTATATCATGAAAAGTAAGTAACAAGAGAATAATATTTTCTAAAACGACAATATATCATTTCAGTTTTTAGAAATTATAGATGTAAATTGCTCCGGAAAAGCTGCTCTGTGGTGCAGTTTTAAACATTTTCCGACAACGTGCTCCTATTAATGTTGTCACAATGCTAAAATTTCAAACTCTTTTATACTAAGGAAAGGACTTGAAGCTAAAATATGTTCTCTTTAGACAATAGGACAACAAAATAATAGTATTTACTTAGACATTGCCATGTGGTCTTAAGATAGCTGTGATAAAGATCAAGACCAGTCTAAAACTATGCAGGACAGTTCCAAGTGTTGCATATTTTTGTGATTCTAAATTGTACCAATACTCGCGAAAAAGACTAGTTTTAGTGTCGTGTAGCATCCGTTAGTATCTGGGCATCGATTTCTGACAACGCCATAACCCCGTAAACTCAAAACGTCCTTTAAGCCCAGGTGAAATAAACAACTCTTCTGTATATTTCCTCACACTTCCTTTCCAAACCCACACCTCTCCATTGTACGGCGGATTATCTGGGCTCGTTCTCATTGATGTTTTGACACACACGTTTGAGCGTAAGCCTTGCCTTTTTTTGTACTGTCAGTTCTCCCAACGGCTGCTGTCATCGTTGCCTGTTCAGAAAGCACAAAGCCCGACTATCCTCCACTGAGCCCCACAATAGACTCTACATGCGCAACATTCGGAGGGGCAGGCCAAGCCAAGTGGGAGAAGTCACGCAACATTTAGTGACAATGGGCCATGCGAAACAACCTAAAGAGATGGAAGGATAGGTTTTATAGTCAAGCAGAGGTATTGTGCTAACTGTGGAGGTTGCCGTGTGGAGAGAACGGACAGCTACTTAAAGTGATGTCGGAGCGGAACATGTTCGGGCACGATGAAAAGCAAAATGGACGAATTTGAAGGCTTTTTGGGCAGGGCTGGGTTACATTACCGAGAATCTGTTTCGAGAATTATTTCAACATTTCGATGAGTAAATAGTTTAAGTGTGGTAACCGTCACTTGCTTGCACGCTACCAGGGTGAAAGCAGTGTTTTTTTCCTACTGAAGTGGGACAATTCCTAAAACATGCTAAGAAGGTATGTCTAATGAGTCAAAAACACGTCACACTGCTTGACATAAATATAGATTTGAGATCATTTTTTGACTTAAATATAGCTTTAAATTCAAGAGAAAACAATTTTACTTTTTCTTTTAACTCTCCCTAGGTGACTATTTCAATATATTTGTAATTTATGTTCGATAAACTGCACTATTTTAAAGATTTGGGATTGAAAAGGTGATTCACGTGCTTTCAGATGAATAATAATTTTACGATTTCAAAATTTTTATTTCAAACTAACAATCTCGCTACAATACGAGGCGATGTTATGTTCTGAGTAGACTTTTTGTGCGCAGATATAGATAGATTTGCGATGTGATGTTTACAATAAAAGCCATTTTAACTTAAGAGTTCTCAATTTTGTCAACGTTTTTCACAATTTTGACTCTACAAAACATTGTGTAGCTTAAATTTTGTGCCATACTCAACGTATTTAGGTACAAAAAATCAAAATAAAGTAGATTTCCAGTTTAGAATTGTTTCCTTATTTGGACTAAAGGTCACACAACCAACTATTTGGCATTTGCAACCCTCGCCAAGCTTGTGTACGCCAGCTCCAATTACTATAACACACAGGGCGAAAGGTAAGACGAACAATCCATTATGGCAGTAAATAAAATGTAATGAGCAATTAGGGGCAGCCGTAAACAGCGGGAGGCTTTCTGATCGGGGGCCCCACAGTCTCCTAAGGGCCCCTCCAACTACATTCACTTTTACTGGCCTCAATGAGCTACCATAGGCCCCAGGATCACCATAAAACTTAATCCGACTACTTAGCTTTGATTTATGCGCGTGCGTCGGGTTTGTCCGCTGCGTAACGCTCTCCCCATGTCACAGTGAGGTTGTAAAACGCGCCGAAACCATGTGGTAAAGGAATTATGGTGGGACCTGTTGAAATTGGGCCCAGCGGGTGCTTCCTCGGGCTACAAGACGTCAGCTGAAGAACATTCATAACCGGGGCCTGTCACTGGACCAAGCCATGCGGTGGTCGGAGAGCAAAATATAAGAAGGCATTGTTTTGTATCGAGCTCCAGTGCTGCAATGTTACGAGTTTTTAGGTTTAAAACGGTGTCGAAACTTGCTGAATTGTTTTAACATTTTTGAAAAGTTGTGTTTAAATATACTCACTGTCTTTCTTGGGGTGTATGTGTGTTTATTTTCTTAAATTAACCCCAAAAAAACACTGACGCAAATTACGCTACTGAATTATTTTGATTTGGAGATAAAATCGTTGGATAAAATTGGAAGTAAACTAAACACAAATCTGATAATCCATGTTTTGTTGTAGGGAATTCCTGTTCATGAAATTAAACTCAAACTTTGATTTTTGAGCACATTAATTTATTTCATTTATTTTGTTAGTTTTTTGTAATTTGGCCCTTAATGGTTTCTGTATCTACAAAGAAGATCGTATGGATATTATAAAGCTATATTACACGGTATGTTACAAAAAGAGTGTTTATTAAATAATATTGCAAAAATACAACATTTCTGCACAGATTTTAGAGTCAAATTGCAGTTTCCCAGCGTGTCACGAGCCTAGTAGTAGTGTTAGTTGTAGTTAGGGTGTCGTAGTGCTACCTCCTGACCTCTCCGTGGACCGTAGCGTACATCCAGAGCGCCGTACTTACGTGTGGACAGTGTTAGCACGCCGGGGATCTGCAGCATGGGCAAAAGCAACACTAGATCCAACCACACGACTTCCATTTTCCCAAACTTAGTCCCGAAAATTGAGTTGCGTTCCTCTCCTCGCTGTTGTTCGGATGTCGCCGCACCGATCGCCTAAATTACGCACAGAGGAGAGAGCAGAGAAAAGCACAAGCACAGTTCAGAGTCAGTGTTCCGGAGTAGGTGAAGCGTCCGAGCCGAAGTGGAGAAGCGCCCTGCGGAGTGTGACCCAGTGGAAAAACTCCTCCTGTCGAGAATCCATACGGCGGCGCGTTACGGCAAAGACGGAGAAAAGAGTGCGTCTATCCCGCCCTGGCCGCTTCTACTGCCTTTTTAAAGCTTCCTACAGCTAAATCATGGACAAGTTGATCGTTTGGCCCCTCCCTCCCTCGCTCCCTCCGTCTCACCCCCTTTTCCTCGGCCCGTCTCTGCCCCAGCCTCTCTCTCTCCCTCTCTTTCCTTCTTTCTCTCTCCTTCTCCTTCTCTCTCTCTCTCTCCAGCCCTCCGCAGTGATGATCAGACGCTCACTCACTTTCACCTCTGCACTGTCTGTCTGACAAACTCATTGTAGCTGTAGTTTCCATGCCTCGGGTCTTGCGCTGTTACGCACGATAACGTAGGTTGGCCCACGTTTTCTCGGTAGAAATGCGATTAGTTTTTATGAATGTAATACCTTTTTAGCATATTATTAACAAGTTTTAAAACGATAATAGGACAAATTTGCAACAAGTAAACACAGTTCGAGTCGAATTTTCACAACTTTATTGCAAAAAACGTTGAAAATGTAGCCTAATTTACGCGTCTAAATATGCAAAATTGCAAGGAAGCACTTTGAAATTAAAACTGAATGTGCAATATGAAACTTTTCTAGCCACCAGCTAAGAATTATTGCTTTGTCTGGAATGTTCCACAGTATGGCATCGACTATCTCTTTGGAAAAGAGCAGGTTGCGCCAACATGCCAGTCAAGTTACAGGTCAGATCTCTGGAGAAGTGACCCCACTGGCAGAAATAATGCGTGTTTTTCAAGTAATTCCTTTTTTTTTAGCAGTTATAAAACGATAATAGGACAATTTTGCAACAAGGAAACAAACTTCAAGTTGAATTCTCATAACTTTATTGCAAAAACTTTGAAAATATAGGCTAATTTACGCGTCTAAATATGCAAGATGTTAAGGAAGCAATCTAAAAAAAATTTAAAAAGTGCACTATCAAACTTTTCTCTTGGAAGTTTCACTGCCAGCTTCTGTTTATGGAAGAATTATTGCTTTGTCTGGAATGTTCCACAGTATGGCATCGACTATCTCCTTGGAAACGAGCAGGTGGCGCCAACATGCCAAGTCAAGTTACAGGTCAGATCTGTGGAGAAATGACTCCACTGATAGAAATAATTCATGTTTTTCAAATAATACCTTTTCAGCAGTTATAAAACGATAATAGGACAAATTTGCAATAAGTAAACACACTTCAAGTCGAATGATCATAACTTTATTGCAAAAACTTTGAAAATATAGGCTAATTTACGTATCTAAATATGTAAGATTTTAAGGAAGCAATCTGAAATTTTTTTAAAAAGTGCATTATCAAATTTTCTCACGGACGTTTCGCCACCAGCTAAGAATTATTGCTTTGCCTGGAATGTTCCACAGTATGGCATTGACTGTGTCCTTGGAAACGAGCAGGTGGCGCCAACATGCCAGTCAAGTTACAGGTCAGATCTGTGGAGAAGTGACCCCACTGACAGAAATAATGCATGTTTTTAAGGTGTTCTTGAGCAATAAAAACATCTGTAATTGAATAATCTTAAAAAATCTTAAAGGATCTTAAAGGTCCCATATACGACCATTTACCGATCTATGTTTTAATGTTGTTTTCTCAGCACAAAAATAGACTGGAGTTGTGTTTTGTTTCATTCACACATGTTTAACACACAAACTCTGCATATTTAGGTGAGTTCTTCTCTCAAACAGAAAATACTCAGTTCCACCTTGTGATGTCATGTGGTAATACAGGAAGTGCCACAGTGCTTATGTTTTTAAATGCCATACAGTTTCACCTTTTTCATTTGTGATAATTTCAGCCCTGGAATTAGCAATCTCTACAAAACAAAAGATAAAAAGCAGTCGTTAACTTGAAATCTACTGCTTCATGACATCACAAGGTGGAACAGAGTATTTTGAGTTTTGGAGATGTAGACAGACTAATTAACCAGGATTACTCAGACATCTGTGAATGAAAAAAAAAAAAAACCCACAACTTCAGGTTTGTTTTTGATGAGTTAAAGGCATTATAACATGTCTTAAAGCTCAGAAGAATCCAATTTGCATAAAATGTCACACACCTCTGACTGTAATGCATGTCTCTTGTTCCTTGTCTTAAAAAGTTTGCTTGAAATTGGAAATAAAGTCCACTCTGTGAATTTAAAAGTTGGGTAGATTATAAATAGTGCTCTTAACAATACTTCAAAGTATTACATTAACATATTTAGAACTCCATGTTACATTTTTATTGAAAATGCAATATAGTACCTAAAACAACGGAATAAACATGTTTCATAAGATTTACTTAAACTCATACATTTTTGATGGTCTGAGTCTCCCTTCCCTTTGTTCTCCATGCTACATCACTCTAGCCAGGTTGGCACCAGCTAGTGCCTCCGCTCAATTTCATTTCTCTCCAGGGACTAGGTCAGGAATCAGAATACACTAGACGGTTCACAAAAACCCTGTAAGTGTGAATCCGGGCATCAGCCAATCAGCGAAGAGACATATATTCTGTGTTGGTAACGATTCCCAAGATCCAGGATGTAAAGCCGGAACAAAGAGAATGTTTGGTGAGTTTTATCAAAGGGAAAGATGTTATTGCCCTTCTTCCTACGGGATTTAGGAAAAGCTTAATATCCCAGTTATCCCCGTTAGCGTCGCATTGCATAAGTCACGACCAAATAGCAGCGATTGGTTAAATTAAAAAGTACCCGCCTACTATTCAGAGAACGAATTCTAACACTGCAAGGTCAGACAGTTTCTACGAAGTGAAACCGACTGATGAATCAGGCTGACGTCACTCCCCCTTCATAGCGCTATCACAAACCAAACAGTGTGTATCCCGCTAATGAAACTACTGCACATCACATCAGGTTTGTGAAATTGTCGTGCACAATTTTGTATCATGCTTTTTTATATTTATGAAGAACTGCATGCGTGACGTTGGCTTGTGGGTGGAGCACTGGACAGAATCTCACAGCTAACCATAATGAGGGTTTGAATAGGGCCCAGGAGAGATCGCTAAATTACTCAAACATGCACCGATGATGTCTAAAACCTCCACAGGCATGTTTATGATAAGGGAACATTATAACATGGTACAAAGCTAAAAAAAAAAAGCATAATACACCTCTTTAATACAAACTGACAAAGCGCACCATAATCCCATCACATCCGTTGGGTTCAGCCGGCGAGTGGGAGCACAGACATGGGCCCATTGACAAAGACCAGTGAGGAGCATAAATCCAGCCAAGTGCCACTGTGTTGTACAAGTTCATCACTTGAATGGGCGCTGTGACTAAAGCCTGACTAATGGAGGTCCCAGTGACATGCAGTTAGCAGCAGTTAGTCAACAGGGGGCAGCGTAAGCCATCACCCCCTCCCTGCCGGCGCACACAAGACACTGTGGTTCATTCTACTGCCTTCCCGCTCACAGCTATAGTTCAGAAAGTCCAGTAAATGGGATCGAGTGTGATAGAATGTCTCCTTGTTGTCGTCTCTTTCCGGACAAATCATCTTGACCTTTGACCCCTGGTGTGTCAGCGACAGTGACTGAATAGGTTATAACTTTGGCATCCTGAATGGACAAAAAAAGAAGTCAGTCATTGGTGAATTGCAGAGTAATGTCATTGCCCCTTTTGTACATGATGCCCATTTTGCATCTTTAGTTAACTGCACATGCATCAATAGAAAGTAACTGTTTTAAAATCATTTACAGTATTGGCAGATTTTTAAGTATCTCCACCAACATCCAATATCTGTATTGGATCAGTGCATCTCTATCTGTAGTGTCCATGCTATTAAAATGGTGAAGATCTCACTAGAATTAAAGGTCTATTAGATGGCTTGTTGGCAACATGTAGTGAGCCCCATGTGTGATTAGTTAGTTTGGGGGTTTGTGTTAAACATAGAAAAACAAAGAAGTTTAGCTAAAGGAAATGGTACGGAAAGGACAATGACAGTAAACATAAAACTAGTGAGGTATGAGTAGCCTAAAGCTGCGCTCAGACCACAGAGTCAAAAACATACGGGACGCCTCTACTTGGACGCCTTTGTATTTGAGGCAGACGCCTTCATCAGGCGTCTTGGACGCTGTGGACAAACATCAGGAGAAAAACACACACGTCCAGGGTGTCTGTTGCAATCTGTGAGTGCCTTGTTCCCCAGTCTTTCTGTGAAAGATAACAGAGCAGGATGAGAAAGCTGCTTTAGTGTATTTATTACATAAAACCATCAGCGGAGGCCATCGGCTCGGCGGCAGCATTTATAGATTTTCGTTTCTGGCTTCCAGGTCTTTTTCTTTTTCTTCTCTTTCTTCCGGATAATGACGTCGCTATGTCATTGGAGAGTAGTCCTCGATTGGTTGACACGACATTCAGCACCAAAAGTTCAGCCTCTTCAACTGAACGAGAAAGACATGACGTGCCAACGCCAGATTGGCGCTGCACTGCCACCTGAAGACGCGCCACAGAAACGCCAATCACCATGTGAGTTTGAAAGCTTGGGTCATGCTTGCAAGCCGGACAGACCTCCAGCGAGATAATCTGACAATGATCCTGTATCTTTAAAATCTAGAGATATGTTCCTATTTTATGAACTGTTCCCTCAGCCAAGTGGATGACAGCCCAAGTTGCTTAAGACACTGTAAATGGGTCAAATGTAGTGGACAAACTATGCAATTTCCTGATCTGTTTTAAAGTTGTTTCCTCATCAAATACATTCCAGGAGTTGTGTTTTTTGCTTTGTTCACACATGTTTAACACACAAACCCTGCATATTTAGGCTGTGCTCTCCTCTCAAACACTTCACTGAATCATTTGGATAATTTCAGCTTCATGACACAAGGTGGAACAACAGAGTATTTTGAGTTTTGGAGATGTAGACAGACTAATAAACCAGGATTACTCAAACATGTGCGAATGAAACTAAACACAACTCTATGTTTGTTTGTGAGGTGATAACAACGTGGCTAAAAGCTTACTACACAAGTCACATGTGCGGAATATAGGACCATAGACATACTGTTGCTTTGTCTGGAATGTTCCACAGTATTGCATTATACTTAACCATATTGTGTTTATT